GGGCATAGCTGGGGGCCCAGAAAGTCTCGTATCTTCCTTTTTATAAAAATCATATTTATTACTGTTTCACTTTATAGGTTTGCTATATTGAAATGTAAGTTCCATGACAGCAGGAACCTTTTCTGTGTAGCTGTACTTAATGCCTAGCTCAGTGCTGGGAATGTAGTTTGGTGCTTAATGAGTGTTTATTGAATAAATGAGTAAATTTGAATGACATGAGAGAAGGTGGATGCAAGTAGCGATTGGGAACGAAGGGGCCTTGCGAGGACCAAGGATGATAGTTTGCCATGACCTAAGGGAGTGTGATTAACTTGTCTGAAGTTCAAATTAGACAAGGAAAAGATTTCGGTAAGGTGATTAGGTATAAGGTATTTATTTAAAACCTACTAACACAGTGAATTACAAGAACTCACACTGGGCTCATCATTGAGACATTTGAGATCATTTGAGATAAAGAGATGATCCAGGGGCTTCCCTGGTGGTGCAGTGGTTAAGAATCCACCTGCCAATGCAGGGGACATGGGTTCAAGCCCTGGTCCGGGAAGATCCCACATGCCGCAGAGTGACTAAGCCCGTGTGCCACAACTACTGAGCCTGTGTGCCACAACTACTGAAGCCCATGTGCCTGGAGCCTGTGCTCTGCAACAAGAGAAGCCACCGCAATGAAAAGCCCGTGCACTGCAATGAAGGGTAGCCCCCACTCACTGCAACTTGAGAAAGCCTGTGCACGGCAATCAAGACCCAATGCAGTGAAAACAAATTTTTTTAATAAAAAATAAATAAAAAAGAGATGATCCAGAAAGCTTCCAGAGAGGTGTTACATGGAGGACGGGGAGTCCAAAGAGCACCAGTTTTCACCATTGTAATACTGGAAACGAGAAACAGTGCTTCCAAATGCTAAATAAACCATCCCATCTAGAATTTCCTACCTAGCCAATCAGTTAGTGTGAAAGTAGGATAAAGACATTTTCAGACAGACGATTTTAAGAAACTTTCTCCTTTGGAGAAACTACTAAAGGATGTTCTCCACTGCAGAGGCTGTCAACTAGGAAAGGAAGATGGAGACCTGACCCAGGAGTGAGGCAAAGGGAGTGTCCTAGGATGAGAGTGAAGGGTAGTCTCGGCTGTGCACCAGGCCTGGAGAGCAGAGGCCCAGGTTGAACTTGGGGACGGAAGGCACCAGGAAGGACGTTTCCAAAGATAAAAGTGGACCTTGCCATCATTGCCCTCCACTTCCCGAAGTGAATTTTTCATTATGTCAGAACATTTGGGGGGGTATTTGTGATGCACTGAAATCTAAGGAAATGAAAAAACAGGTCAGCTGTTAATTTCAGGAGAAACAACGTTGTCGAAGGATATGTGATCATGGGAAATAGTAAAAATATAATCACGCGGTTAGCTCTGAAGAATCACCTTAAGGGAAATTGTGATGTAGTAAGAAATCGTGATATAAATATATTGGGAGAATGGAAGTAGAGGAAGTATGTGGATTTGTGTGTTAGGGAGATGGGAACCATTCAACTTCCAGAAGCAGAAAGAATAGAGAATGTCTTGGGTATTAGTGTCTGCTATATTTTCTTGGCTCTTCTGTATTTTAAAATTTTTCACAATTTTTTTTTAAGTTTTTTTTTTTTTTTTTGATGTGGACCATTTTTAAAGTCTTTATTGAATTTGTTACAATATTGCTTCTGTTTTACGTTTTGCTGTTTTGGTTGCAAGGCATGTGGGATCTTAGCTCCCCGACCAGGGATTGAACCCTCAACCCCTGCATTGGAAGGCGAAGTCTTAACCACTGGACCGCCAGGGAAGTCCCTTCACAATTTTTTAAAAGGAAAATTTAACAAATAGCCATGTACCAAAAGGCAAATAATGTATAATCCCAACACTCAGACGTAATGACTGTCAACGTTTAGTGTATGTCCTTCCACACATACAGAGGTTAGTATGTTCCTTCACACACTCGTGTATGTATTTAACTCCTATTAAATTAGGTCATATTATACAGTGATTCCCAAATGCCATTCCCTGGGCCCTTTGCTTGAGAATCACCTGGGTAGCTTTTTGAAAATATAAACTCCCTGGAGCCCCAGGTTCAGAAAGTTCAATTCAGTATTCTTGCTGAATTGGGCCTCAGGTCTTTTAAAGTTACCCAGGTGATTCCGATGCGTGGTCAGGTGTGGGGACTCTGTTTTGTGAATGGCTTTATTAGTGTCATTTGATATTTTTCTCTCTCACCATTTGTTGGGCTACAGGGTAGTCCAACTATGTAAGACTTTTACTGAATGGTCGTTTCTTGTCTCCAGGAAAAGAGAGGGAACAAAGCATCTGATAAAGCTGCTGTCTTGGCCTTTGATGCCCTGGTGGCCTTCTGTGAAGAATTGGGGTGAGTGACTTATCTTGTGTGTGGAAACAAGTGTTAGTGAGATCTTTTCCTCTCCCAGCACTGCTAGTTAACAAGCTAACATAGGACAGTTCTTGGGCCACCAAGGGACCCCTGCCTGCTGAAAGCCATCGTGTGGGAATATTTCCTATCGGAGCATGGAAGTTGGTACCCTCCCACCTTTCCGTGGAAGGCCCCAGAAACTCTGGCACTGTGAGGATTCGTTGAGTATTTTGGGTGGTAATCCACCCATCCCACTCCACCCACTTCTGGAGTGGCTGGCACCATGGGTGACTCAGCTCCGAGAGATGTGACCAGTTCTGAGCCATTGGCATTGTGGTCATAATGTGCCACTGTGCTGTACCACTGGCTTCACTTGTGGAGTAGTCACTCTCATCCCAGACCCAAACAGAGACATGTGGCCCAGTTTATGTCTTGGGAGGGCAGGGGCGGTAACGTGCTTGGAGAGAAATCAACTTTTCTAACATAACACCAGCCTGCCTACTTGGAACCCACTTATCTATTTGATCTGAATCTGCTGGCGGTGGGGGCCATGAAAGAGCCTGATAGCTGCTCAGCGACAGGCAGATTGTGGCAGGGAGAGCCCTGGGCACGAGCAGCTGTGGGCACACTGTATGAGGGACATCCAGAGCATTCTGGACAAGCTGGGAGCACTTGCATTTGTGTAGCCCTTTGCTCGAAAAACCTCTGATTCCTCTGCTCTCACTGGTCAGATCTCGTTGGACAACCCTGTAAGGTAGATGAGGCAGAATTGATTGCTTCAGACTTAAGAGATGAACAGACCACTGTCCAGAGAGGTCGTGGTTGGGAGTTCCCTGCCGGTCCAGTGGTTAGGACTCGGTGCTTTCACTGCCGAGGGCCGGGGTTCAATCCCTAGTCGGGGAACTAAGATCCTTCATGGATGTCACTAATCCCCCATTTCCCAATTTTCAGTGATATGCACATTTTCATACACACATGCCTTCTTGGTTTTTGCAAGACTGGATTCTTGAAGCATGGAGTTGATTAGGTGCATGGTACTGGTGGTGCCCACCAGATGTTTGGGGCTTTCTTCTGGAAACCAGAGAGGCACTTATTTGGGCCATGTGTTCTGATTCCCACCCCCTCCTATTCACCAAGTCTGTGGCTCCTAGGCTGAAGCTATTTCCTTCTCTAAGCTGCCATGTCTCATTTGGCCTCTGTGGCAAGACCACGCCCAGCAGAGGTGGTTGGCACCCTTGCCCACAGCCATTGCAACCAGAGCCCTTTTCAGGCACTAACATAGTGAGTTGCTAAATTAGGCCTTCTTTGGTTCCTTGAGTAAAGCGCTTGTCATGAAAGGGCTCAGTGTCCTTGCTAGTTGTCAGAATCCCCTCTGTTTGAAGTCACCCTGGCTGGACTCTTGTTTGGGGTGATTATGAGACTCTGTGGAGCTGTCTGGAAGCTTAGCTCTGCCGTATCCCTCTGGGCTGCAGCAACTCACCAGGCAAGAGGACAGGTCCTCCCAGGGCCCTCTGCTTTCCGTCTCATACCAGAGAGCTGGGGCCTGTTAGAGTGTCAGGGGTCTGGGCATCAGTGGGCCTCCTGTTGCCCCGTGTGCAGCCTCATCTCTTCTATCTCATTTGCTACACATGAGGGTGTCAGATTCCAGGACTTCCAGGCCCTGGGACGGAGTGAACACGGCTGGTATGGCTGGATTTGAAATTGCTCTTTGAGTAGAAAGGAATGTTTCTTCATTGCATAAATGGTATATAACATGAAGGCAAAGCCCTTCCTCACCAGATACTTGCCCTTTTTCTAAGAACAGCCTGGTTTGAGGTTGACGTTGAAGCAGCTATTTGCAGAGGGAGGGCACTTGGCAGCGAGGGACAGGCCTGCCTGATGGCTTTGGCAGTGAGGGACAGGCCTGCCTGATGGCTTTGGCAGAGGCGGGGACATTTCTACAAGGGCTGCGTTGTAGGGTCTGGGGTGCCTGGGGGCTGGGGGACCCTGTGAGGGATACCTGGACATCTCTGGGACCAAGAGAAAAGACACTTGGGTCACATGAATGAGGCCAGCGTGGGGCGTCCAGATGGCTTCCTCTCTTCTTTGCGTGCAGCTAATTCTCTGAGCGTGGCCATGAAATGCATTTGATTGTTTATGACAGGGCCAAATTTACCTTTGCGTGCAAAAAGGAACAGTAATTAGGTTTAAAGCAACCTTCCTCCAGCCTAGAGGCCTCTGGACCCTGAGATGGGAAAAACAGCTTTGGTTTAGGCCTAGATTGTACTGGGCTCTGTCAACTCCTGGGGTCTCCAGGCTGGGGGAGCCGATGGCCCAGCATCCCTCTGTTTATCCATTCATTTGCTCATTCGTTCATTCATTCATTTATTCAACCAGCAAATATTGATTGATACTGACTCTGGGCGAGGGCACATCAGAAAAGGGGGTACAATGGGGAACAGAAAGAGACCCAGCCCCTGCTTTTTGTTGCTTGGACCAGTGGGGAAGACAGGCACTTATCAGATAATCACATGAAAAATGTATAATTCCAGACTGTTAAAAGGGCTTTGGAGAAAAGGTACATGGTGTTTTGAGAGCGTATAACAGTGGCCCCTTTCTTGGCCCACAGAAAGTCAGGTCACGACTCTTCATACTCGTTGACCCTATCGAGTCGGGGGAGTAAACCAAACACAATAGCAAACAAGATGAGAAACAGGACCGTAATGATGAACAAGCAGATCACTACCAGGCCCCCCTGGTCGAAGGGGTTCTGCCAGAACTCATCCTTCCAGGTGCGTTTTGTTAGTAGTCTGTCCATGTGAGCCTGGAAAAGTGGGGACAGAGGCCCTGAGTGCAGGGGCTTCTCCAAGGCCCTGTCCCAGGTGCTACTCCCTGCCCCCAACTTCACCCTCTGGTGCGATCTCAGAGAACGGCGGCCACCTCTGTAGCTAGCAGGCATTGAAGGGATGGTGGGTCATTGGGCTCAGTGCCTCCAGCAAGCAACAAATGGGCTTTCTTCCTCCGTAGAAGCAAAAGCAGGGACTGGCACCAAGAGAGGGGGGTCCCTTGAGTTCTTCCTGGAGGCTGCCTCTGGCTTCTCCAGTGCTTTCCTGAACAGCCCTGCTGTGAGCAGGACTTTTTCTCCCATCCCTGAGAACTGCCCAGCCAGAATCTAAAAAGCAGCGCTCTAGACCCTTCCTGGGTTTCCTGCCTCGGTGGCCAAACATTTGGGAAGCATTTTGAGAGATCAGCACAGGAGCCCAGGAGTGGATGGTCTCAAGCTGAGGCCTCTGTAGGCTTCCTTAGAGGCAAGTGAAAACAGAAGGACTAATCTTGAAACACAGCTGAGATGGGCAGGCAGTGGGTCTGTAGCCAGTTGAAGGGAGTAAAGGCGGGGAAGGAAGGAGCCATTACCTGGGTCTGCTGTTTGTATTCCTGTGTCCTAAGCGAGGGCAGGCAGATCAGGGTAATCCTTCAGGCCCCACGCCTTGGGGGGCCTGAGCTGCACTGTGACTCAGAGAAGCAACTCTTGGGAGGAAAAGGTGGCCTCATTGCTGACTGCCCCTGACCAGACCTGCTTGCTGTCACCAGAGCAAACAAAGGTGGGCTAGGGCCCGTTGCCTAGCAACCGCGTTCTCTTTCAGCCTTTCACACTTACCCCTCTGCGCGTTCTGCCCTTTTGTGATGCTGTTTTGGGGGGCTGCTCAGGGGCGTGGGTTGAGGTGTCCTGGCTGAGAGAGGTCAGACTTGGGGTGGGTGGGGGAAGAGACTGGATCCGGGGCCCTTGCCCCAGGCCTCCCGTCCACCTCACCTGTGGCTGGGTCCTGCCCCTCCTCTCAATCCGGATGACCCGTCTACTGAAAGGACCTGCCCAGAGCTCGGGAGGCCCCAGGGCTGGGGCTGCCACGCATGGCCTCTCATTTCCTGTGGCGCCGGGTTGATGATTAACCACAGCTCCAGCTGGCACCTCCTGGAACCAGCATGTGGGTGTTTATCACCATTGAGGCCCCAGGTTCCTGTGAAGGCCCAGCTTCCCCCTTGGTGTCTTTGTGTGCCGCTTAGGCCCGGCCGCAGCTGCTTCGTGTGGGTTCCCACCCCCTGGTGTGATGGGGCAGCTGGGAAGCAGGAGTGGGGCCTTCTCGTGGAACCTGGTGGCTGCCATTCCATCCTTGAAAGACAGGAGTCGAGTGCCCACGGTGGCCAAGAACTGTGCCAGGTGCTGCGTGTCCAGTCGTGAGCGAGAGAGGCAGGCCCTGCTCTCCCAGGGGTTACATTATAGGGTACCGGTCCTCAACCCTGCCTGTTCCAATCATCCGGGAGCTTTTCTGAGCGCCGGTGCCCAGGCCCCACCCACCTGGTAGCACAGAGATCAGCCTCTGGGCATATCAGAGCCCTGTGCTTGGTAAACCTTGTCGGGTGATTCTCCTTTTTTTTTTTTTTTAATTTAGTGTTTTTTTTTAAATTTATTTAGTATTTTAATTTTTGGCTGCGTTGGGTCTTTGTTGCTGCGCGCGGGCTTTCTCTAGTTGCGGCGAGTGGGAGCTACACTTGGTTGTGGTGCGTGGCCTTCTCATTGCGGTGGCTTCTCTTGTTGTGGAGCGCAGGCTTTAGGCACGCAGGCTTCTGCAGTTGTGTTAGGCAGGCTCAGTAGTTGTGGCTCGCAGGCTCTAGAGTTCAGGCTCAGTAGTTGTGGTGCACGGGCTTAGTTGCTCCGCGGCATGTGGGATCTTCCTGGACCAGGGCTCAAACATGTGTCCCCTGCATTGGCAGATGGATTCTTAATCACTGCGGCACCAGGGAAGCCATCATCGTGTGATTCTGACATGCAGCGGGGGCTGGAGGAGATGATGGGCAAGTTCCTTGAAGTCCTTCTTAACTATCCTGGCTTAATTGACCTTGGCTTACCTGCCGCTTCGCATTTCCTTCTGTAAAACACTCTGACTAATGCCCTTGGCCTGCTGAATGCTCAGAGCCAGCAGGCTGGTCTCAGCACACCCTTGGACTTCCGCTCCATTAGCTTAGTTGGATGCTTATTAAGCGTCAGCTGCTTGTTCCCAAACCTGTTTTGTGGCAGTTGTACTTGTAATTACATAATTGTACTTAACATTACATAAAAATGAAGTAGTGATGATAGCTGAAACCCCAGTTTTACAACTGGGGAACAGGCACAGAGAGGTTAAGTAACTTACCCAAGGTCACACAGCTAAAAAGTTACTGCTTTGGGGTTTGGACCCAGCTGTTCCTGTCAAAAATAGATGTGGACAGGGCAACTGTAAACATTTCCTAAAAATGCAGAAGTATTTCACACTCGGGTTTCCTTGCAGATGTCTTCAAGTTCATATTCCGCCTTAAAGAAATCAAAATTAGCAAAGAGACAATTCAGGAACTCTGGTCGGCAAACCCACACTTGGAGAAAAGACCTCGGCCCTGCATCAAAAAGATTGACCAAGGAATGTGCGTCTGTATGTTTCCATTTCAAATGAGAGGTGTAGAGAACGTACGTCTCGGGTACACAAACGTTGCTTTAATTGACTTTTTCAATTAACTTCTGGCCCTGATCGGAAAATCCTTCTGAAATGATCACCACGAAGGGAATGATGTGATGGGAAGAGGTAGAGAATGCTGTTGGTGCCCATGGCATAGCCTGGCCTGGGGCCTGAGGAGACTCCCCTGGGAGGAGCGATGTTGAAGTTGAGATGGGAAGCTGACGTAGGAGTTAGAATGAGGAGACAGTGTTCCAGGGTAGGCATCCGGTTCCCAAGGAGAGCGAGGAGACTTTTCCTAAGGACAAAATTAATTTGTCTTCAGTTTGTTTGTTTTTTAACTTTTATTTTTTTAATTATTATCTTGTTATTACCGTGCGGCTTGAGGGATCTCAGTTCCCTGACCAGGGACTGAACCCGGGGCATGGCAGTGGAAGCCCAGAATCCTAACCAGTAGGCCACCAGGGAACACCCTGTTCTCAGTTGTTGTTTTTTTTTTTTTTTTTTTT